TAAAGGACTTATTGTAATAAGTATACAGTATGTTAATAAAAACCAAAGGCATGATCTTATCTTAACATTAAAAAAAAAAAAAAAATTTCCAACTTTGTCATGTGGTAAACCTAACTAAACAGCAAGTCCTGGCTTGAAATACAAGGTTATAAAAAGTCTATCTATATCAATCATAATTGTACAAATAAAATATCTTAGTGAAAACTTGCAGTAGATCATATTTGCAGGTACACTAAATTGAGAGCTCATTAGAAGCAGATATCTAATATATCAAATTGAAAATTATAACTAGTTGTATGAGATGTAGAAGGAATGTGATATTACTAGAAATAGTTAATTAAAAAGCACAAAACTAGATAAGACATATGTAAGATATGGAATACTCTAATATATTTAGGTTGTAGATAAATTAGTCTAAATTTCTGTAGTTCTGTATTAGTGTATATATAAAGGACTTATTGTAATAAGTATACAGTATGTTAATAAAAACCAAAGGCATGATCTTATCTTAACATTAAAAAAAATAAAAAATCATAAAAAACAAAAAAAATTTATTAAATTAACTAAGCCACAATGTTGAACATCCAAATTTGGGTTTGTTTACCATGCTATTACTTGAAAAACTAGAATATACTGCACTTATATCTAGAACAATGTTGGTACAGAACAGTTTTGGACAAATTGTGAACAATTTTGGATAAAAAACAAATCTAAATTACTCAATTTTATTAAAATCATATCGGTGAATCTGCATCATCTAATAAATAGAAAAACCCATCAGTCATAAGTTTGGTTAAATTTGCAGATCATTTGGCCAAAGCTAAGATAAACCAATTTCAAATTTGGTCAAATGATCTGCAAATTTGATTAAAATTATGACTAATGGGTTTTTCTATTTATCAGATGATGCAGATCCGCTGATATGTAATCTATTTTAATCTTTTAAACAAAAATATTCAGAACTATGGTGCAGGAAGTCTTAACTCACTGATATAATAGATAAACTTTAAAATCTATTAACTTCTTAAAAAATTAAAATTTTAAAAAACCAAACCAGTAATTTTGTTTTTCAAAACAAGCTCTACAAAATTACTGGTCAGATTTAAAAATATAATCTCTATAAAGAGTTAATAGCTTTTAAATTTAGATTATTTTTATATTAAAAAATAAAAATTAAAACGTATATGATTTTTAATTTAGACTAATCAAAAACTTAGATTTTTATTATAAAAATTTTTTTGACCAATCAAAATTTAGCTTTAAAAAAATAAAATTTTTCAAATTTTTTTTTAATTTAGTTTGTATTACTTATTCTAGCAATTTGATTGGCTGATTTAGGTTACACTGCATATATAAAATTGAAACATTGGCTAGTTAAGACTTCCTGCACCATATAAAAAATATATAATCATATTCTTTTTAAACTAATTTATTAAATTTTAAAGCCTAAATATCCTTTGGACATTGTGGATGTTTGGACGTGGACATGGGCAAAAAAAAGTCCTGAACATAGTAGACGTGACAACACTAATCTAGAACACTTCTGGTTATGCCCGAGGAGTTCCACTGGCCAAATGACACCATACTATATACCATATAATGCAGGCTTGTAATAGCTAGAACTAAAAAAATAGTGTAACCATAACAAAGTTGTAACTATATCAAGAGTGACTATAACGAGATCTAATTGTAGGCATAGTTCAGTCGTTAACCGATAACCTTCTAACAAATAACCTTTTAACAAATAATCACTAGAATAGCAAGAAAAAAAATATGCAGTCACATTCTAAACCACGCTCTTCCAAATTTTTATCTCTACAGGTTGGAAAAAACAATATGCATTTTGAAGTGTTTATTTAATGATGCATTTATAGATACAAATTTAATAATATTTTAAGTAAACAATGAATCGAGTATTAGGAAATAACTATTTTAAGAAAAAACGGGATTATATATTCTCTCCGTTAAAGCAATTCACTAAACAAAAGTTGCACCATAAGAATCATTATTCATTCTCTGGACAGCGTAATGAGGTATTCCAGCTCCACCTACATTCGCGATTAAACCATGTGAATTAACTAACCGTCTTGAAGCACCTCTCTGTTCTTCAATAATAACCTGTTAGAATTATAATTGTTAATAATTTATTCTATTCGATAAAGTGCATTATGAGAAATTTTTAGAGATCTTACATCAGCAGTCCACAGAGCAGCTCCAACAACATTTGTCCAGAAAAAAACAAAATTAGCAAGAGGAACCAATTCTAAAGCCACAGCAACCATTCCAAACATTACGTAATCATCATGCTTTTTCAAAGCGAAGCGGATTGACTGTTTTACGTTGAACTCTTTTATTTCTAGATGATAGTGCAGTTGATGACCCCAAGTCATTATCCAACCATTAACATAACAGTACAGTATAGTTCCGACTATTGGTAATGCATTTAGTGGCATTGTAATAAGAAGTGTCAATATCTAAAGCAATAAAAATCGAAAAAAAAATTTACATTTACATAATGTAAATAATAATTTACGATGAATGATTTTGAAGACTTACTTGTAATAAGATCACTGCATATATTTGAAAACAAGTTATTGTAAGGCCAGAACATACGCCTCGACAACAAAGTGTAGATTCGGATATGTTTCTATGCCTTTCTAATATGTGACCAAGCCCTTTTAATCTTAAAACATCATCAAATAGTGCATCTTGCCATATTGGAGTGGCAATAAGGTAAAAGATAAGTGTAAATAGGAGTGCCTCAAGTAAACAAAATATGAAAGATACTATCCAGGCGAGCCATGCAGGGCATCCCACGTTTATGAGAGCATGGGCTTGAAGTCCAAGTAAAAATCCAAAGCTCAAGCCAAACGCAACAACTGTGACAATTAAGGTTATGAATAAAACACATGTAATTCTTTTAACCAAGATCCAGTGTGAAAAAAAATAGAAAATCCCTTTGATCGGATAGTATGAAATTGGAAGCAACATGATATATTATTTGACTAAAAAAAAAAAACGTTACCAACCTTAAAATGCAAAATTCGAGGTAGGAACGTCCCGAGTGCCCCGAGTTTGTAGATCGTTACACAATTTATTAATGATTTTTTTTTATA